CCCCAAAACCCCAAAACCCCAAAACCCCTTTAAATAAATTTAATATTGAAAATCTAGCAAATTTTGATCACTAACAGAAATTTATTAGTAATCCTAATAAGATGAAAAATTAAGATAAAAGAGTGGTTGCTAGCAACCTTATGATAGCAATTATTTTTAACCTTGAGCCAGCTGAATTCATTTAAAATCTTAATTTCCAAATGCCTTTATTAACCATAAAACATGAATTCCAGAATGTTGTGCATTATTTTCAGTCGAATTGAATTATCAAAAACGCCAAGAGTTGAAGAATGAACATGTTTATAATGGAAGAATAGCTTAGTTATTCATATTAAATTTTGAACCCATCTGAGTGAACCCACTTTTGTTTCACAATGTCTCTGAATTTATGTAACATAGGAGGATCTGATGGGTCTCTGTTTACTCATAATCCTTCAGAAGGTGTGTAATTTCTTGGAGCTAATACCAAAATTAACCTGAAAAGATTACCAAATGCAGTGACAAATCGCTTAAATGGCTGTTTCTGCTCCTTAACTTCATAAGGGCCAGAACATCTCACAACTGGTTTGTCAAAGTCGTATTGAGGCATGGCCTCAAAATCCTTATATCTGCTATAAAACTTTGGTTTTAAGGTTCTAAAACATTAAAAACAAAGCTTAACTTTTTATTTTTACAGACAGAGTTGTACAGTTTCTTCAGCGACTGATTCATTTTGAGATGCCCAGGTAACAGCTTTATCTTAATTTTGCCATTTTTTCGACACTTTTTGTCATTCTTTTCAGTCTTAGGAATATTTTGTTCTGGAGGGTTCATGAGGAGGTTCTCAAGCAGATAATTTTCCTCAAAAATCTCATTAATTTTCTAAAAATAACAGTGATGGGGTACCTTATTACTAAGATTTCGTTTCTTAGCCCGAATAGAGTTCTGGTTTAGCCTATCAATCAAGATTGATCTTCTCTCGTCATGTGAAAGGTCACATAAACCATTCGAAGTAATACTAATGTCAATAACAGATCATTTCTTCTGATTCTTACTGCTTCTTTTTCAAAACTTCCTGTTCGGTGAGGCAGAACAGATATCTCTTTGATTCTAAAATTTTACACTAAGAGTACAATCTGCTGAATTTTTGACTCAATACTAGCCAAGGAGAGCTTTATTCTCCTTTTAACTTGATTTTTGTTTGTTTTAGACAACTTCCTAAAGAATCTTAAATAAAAGTACAGCTTAGGCTTTCTTGCATTCTTCTTCTCCTCAACTTCAATCTTTATTGATTCAGGAACTGAGGTATTGTCTAGCAAATTTGAAACATCTAAAAATAAGCTGGATTCGTACCGATATTGGACTCATCTTTGATGATCTTCTTGGTCAGGTCAGCCTTAAATTCCTGGAACCTCTTCTGATCCAATCTTGTCTGGGATAAGCAATTTTTGTTATCCTCTAAATCTTTTATTTCAGCGTATTTACCAAATTTTTTTGAGCATTTTGTGAAGAGTTGAGACTTTGTTCTTGAAGACCTTGTTGAGAAATTCCTGACTCGATTTGAAAGAGCAGATGAAATTTGTTGCATCCCTATGGAGCTAGTCTGGCGCCTCTGGCTTGGTTTAGCAATCCTGACTGATCCATATCAGTTACTGATGTCAGAAACGATGTCTGACTTTGATATCTTGGTCAAGGATGATCAATGAGTTGCCTTTATTGCAGATTTATTAATACTGTTATTTTCAACAACCAATATTCCGAATCTCTTAGAAGAAGACATTCCAGAGTGCATAAAACTTTTTGTAAACGTAGCTTGGTTTCTGAGATGCTTTTGGGATTTTTTCCCTTCCTTAAATGTATAATTCTTCTTCAAATCAGGAGTTAAAATCCGTGACATTTGAATTCTCTGTAATGCAGACTTATTAACTTCAGGAGATGAACTCAATCTTTGGTACTCAACCTAGAGGTAATATAAAGTCTTACTAAGTATTTTTCGGTATGATCAACCTTAACTCTGGAGTCCTCTTTATTTAGCAAAAAGAGTATTATATCAATTGAATATAAAGTTCCTCAAAATCTGATAAGTTGCTGGGAACCTCTGATCTACTACGAAATGTGTTCCAACTGTGTTTAAATGGAATAAAACCAATGGCTGATTCTCACAACTTGCCAGTACAGTGTAATTATTCAACACATGATTTATATTTGTGATATTTGTTGGATGAGGAACCCATCCATAAGATGGAGGAAGAGCAAACTCATTTTCAACAGAAGCAAACAAGTAATTTTGACTGTACTCTTTATTTAACCTTGCATATATTCTTAGAATATTGAGATATCCCATCAGAACTATAGCTATCTTTACTCTTCTGCTTTTGCTCAATCAAGCTACTGTAGTTAACTTTAGAAGAACTAGACTGAGGATTGTGCATTCCGACGTTGCCGATAGAAACCCATTCATCTTTCTGTTGCTTATATTTATAGTAATCTCCAGTAGAGCTGTCTAAAAATACTGGAATCCGACCAATCCGTCTATCACTTGTGCTTTCAATTCATTTTTCAGTCTATGGATAAAAGGAAGCGATATACTATTTCAAACTGATGGATCTTGTCAAGAGGTGTTCCCTTTTCATTATTATTCAACACATGAAGATTTGCAAAACTTGTAGCTCAGTAATAAACAAGGAAATTTACACCAGTTCCACTAACGAATAACAGTTTCTTAGCTTTAGCCATCTTGAACAAAATAGCAGTCTTGGCGTTTTTATGCTGCCAAGGTAGCTGAGAAGGGTCACCAACCATGAAAACTATAGTTGTAAAAATTATTGGTTTACCGACATCAATTGCTTCAAACTTCTTGATTGCATCTGGATTAGCAAAATCTGTCCCTGTCTCGAACAAATAATCATCTATGAGGTTAATAGTTCAAAAATATCTTCAAACTTGCTGAGATGATAAATATTTAAAAGAAATAAGATATTTCAAAGCTTCTTTAAATTTTTATCTCAATTGAATTATTTCTGAATCAAAGAAACAGTTGGAAACTTACCAACATTATGCTTGTCCCTTTTAACCACTTCGAAGGGGCAAGTGTTCTTAATATTTAGTTCTTGAAATGCAGCTAAAACTGCCTTCTCAAAAGCCTTAGTCTTAGAAAGCTCTCTGCATGAACTGTATATCAAAATCTTCATTATTATGGAGTATGGAGGAATTTTTATTTCTAATTTCAACATAAATTTTATATACAGGGGTTTTGGGGTTTTGGGGTTTTGGGG